TGGCCAAATTAGGAGGACAAGGCCCACAGTGCACTTCTCAAACTAATGGAAGCTCAGCTGCCCAGGCCCTAGAAGCCCCGACCAGGCCCTGGAAGCAGATGCTCCACCTGGCTCAGTGGCCTTTTGCCAGCTGAGACCATTAACCAATAATAGCTGCATTTCCAGAAAATTAGGCAGTGCTAATTTTAATCTTGTTCTCTGTTTAGAAACTGAAGTCCAGAGAGGTCAGACCTAGGGCATCTCCTCCACGTTTTCACAGTGGCCTAAGAATGTCTGCATCCCACCATCTCCCCTGCAGGCTTCAAGCATCCTGAGGACATGGTCCTGCTAGATCCACTTCCATGACCCCAAGTCTCAGGTCAGGATTAAAATATAACTGTCAAAGGGCTGAATGAGAACCTTCTATGGGAGCTGCCACAGTAGATGCCCGGCCCGTGTCCCCTTGGCACTTCATGCCTATGACAGCTTCCTCATCCCACGGAGGGAGGGGAGCTTTTTCTCTGTCCAAGAGTTTTTTCTAGGTGAGGAAGCTCACTGGCCCATGCAAGAGGCAGGTAGTTATGCTGGGGCGGTTAGAGTCTTCAGCAGTATTCTTCCACCCACGAGGGCTCGAAGTTGCAGGTGAATGATCCACAGGGCAAAGGAGAAAGAGGGCTGGAAGGTTTGCAGTGTGTATGGCTGTTAGCATAACTGACGCCATCTTGGGCCTGTGCATTTCCTCCTGTCCTTCCACTGACCCTACCTAGGACTGTACTGTGTAGTAAATCTCTTCTCTGTCGTCAGTGGATTTGTAATTAATAGATATTGTTTAATGATCATGAGGTCCAGGTAGTCTCCAAATAATGATAAAGACCTTCGCTGACATATTCCTGGCACCCACCCACCATAAATCAGATAAGGCCTTGACTTAGGAACGCAATCCCCGTCTCCAAGCACTTACCCCCATACCCTAGGTTAACTATAAATTTGTGATGGTCCCTCGGAGGTGCGGAGTGCAGCTGCCGACGCCTCCAGTTTGCCATATGCCCCATCCAATCCGCATGTAAGTTACCCGCAATAAACTTCACAACTGTACTTTACGGAGCTGCCTGCCTCGTTGTTTGGTCTCAAGATACCTTCTCAGTTCGTTGGGCACTTTTCATTCCCTCTGTCCTCGGAGACAGTTTTAGATGGGGAGTTCTCATGACTCAGTCCAGAACCAACCAGAGGATGCACGGTTTGGGCGCACTGGTCTCCTGCAGAAATTCTCATCAGAATGACTGGAAGAACACGTTACAGTGCAGATCCCCAGGCCCATTCTCTCAGCTTCTGATTCAGAAGTATGCCGTGTTGGTTTCCTGGGTGCGGGGCTGGGGAGCTGTAACACGGTACCACCAGCTGGGTGGCTTATAGTAACAGAAATGTACTATCTCACAGTCTGGAGGCCAGAAATCTGAAATTGAGGTGTTGGCAGGGTTTGTTCCTTCTGGAGGCTTTGAGGGAGAATCTGTTCCAGGCCCCTCTCCTGGCTTCTGTTGGCTGTGGGCCATCCTTGGCTTTCCCAGGTTTGCACATGGATCACTCCAATCCCCGACGCCATTTTCACACGGTCTTCTCCCCGTGTCTGTGTCTCTTTTCTTATTAGGACACCAGCCATATTGGATTAAGGGTCCCCTGCCCCACTGTGACCTCATCTCAACTAATTATATCTGCAACAGCCCTATTTCCGAATAAGGTGGCATTCTAAGGTCCTGGTGGCTAGAACTTCAGCATATCTTTTGGTGGGGGGGGACATAGTTCAACCTGTAACAGATGTAGCAATTCTAAATGCTAACAACCCCCCGGGAGATTCCGACATGACCCCCTGTGACTATGGCACTTCCGCCTGGTTCTTCTTTACAGAGCCTTCTGCAGAGACAAGGCCTGTAACAACCGTACATGGAGCAGGACCAGTCTGTTGCACTTTGACGTCCGGGCGTGCAGAGAATGAAAGGAAACAGAACTGCTGGAGGGAGGCAGCGAGGGGCAGCATGGTCCCAGCGGAGCATGAAGGGAAGCCTGGCTCGGCATCTTGGCCTCCCCTACTGTCACCCCACTGGCCACATGTCTGAGGTCGGAAAGAAGGTACTTGACTTAATTTTCCAGCTGCTCAGATGCCAACACAGCAGGTGCCTCAAAAACAGGGCTGCAGAAAGAAGTGCAGGATGAATAGCGCCGACATTTTTTTCTTGGTTTAAAAGGAAATCTCTTGCTTTGGGGCAGATCATGCCTCATGAATTGACTTCTCACAGGCACTTTTGTAGATGAGAAACCGCAGCAGAGAGGGTTATGGGTAGATGCAGTGTGGCTCCCTTCCCATGTACATTGTGGAGCAGGGATGGGGTCTGACATGGAGGGGTCGACGTGATGCTCAGACAGCATCCAGACACCAAGCCGTCCACCTGGATAGTTTTATATGGTGGGTGGGAAGAGGCTGGGGGAAAGGCACTGCTCCCAGCACACCTGCTCTGACAGGTAGCCTATAGCCTCAGAGCCATGGGGGAGCACCTGAGGTGAACAGAGAGGCAGGGATGAAAGAGCCGGAACCTCGGTGAAACCCATACACATCTCCCCTTATGGGCCATCTTCGTTCCTGCCTCCTGCTTTTGCATATGCTGGTCCTTGACCCCACAGCCTCCATCTGGAAAATGACTTCCACACTCTCTCTGTTAATGGTGCCAGCCTCACTTCAAATCCATGACCACAACTCTCAAAGGAGTTCTCAGCACGGCTGGGCGATCCTACTACATTTCCCTATCCATTCACTTTTTTTTTTTTTTTTTTTTTTTTTTTGGTGCCACGCGGGCCTCTCACTGCTGTGGCCTCTCCCATCGCGGAGCACAGGCTCCGGACGCACAGGCTCAGCGGCCATGGCTCACGAGCCCAGCCGCTCCGCAGCACGTGGGATCCTCCCAGACCGGGGCACGAACCCATGTCCCCCGCATCGGCAGGCGGACTCTCAACCACTGCGCCAGCAGGGAAGCCCTATCCATTCACTTTTCCATGTGAGAAAGAACACCTAATTGGTCGAAGCCACTAAATAGTTAGATTTCTACTAAAAGCAGCCAGATGCAACTCCTAAACAACACAAGGACAGATATCTCATGTTCATTTTCTTTTAAAGGGAAACAACATGGATTCTTCGGATTCTAGATTGAAGCATCTTCTGGCACGCAGCACAATACGCAATGTGATTGCTCTCCGCTCGGGTCCATCACCCCTCTGCCTTTTCACAGGCTCACATTTGCCATCCAGGCACTCTCTGAGGACCCTTCAGACATGCCTGAACTGATAAAGGACTCGAGGCAAGGTTGCCTGGAGCCCACCATCACTTTGGCCCAAAGTGCCCAAGCTGGTTTGAGCGGAAGTTCCCAGGACTGGGTGTCTACCGCTGCGGGGGCGGGGTGGGGGGGACCATGAGCCTCAGAGCAGGCAGGACCACAGGGAAATTGTGATGAGCTCTGAAACCGCTCACCGCGTCAGCCCCCGCCTGTCCCAAGTCTGACGCGCTGTGTTGCAGAGGCACTTCCCGTTCTGGTTCTGCTGGGACCGAGGACGTAGTCCCGCAGGGGGTGAGGCTTGCTGCCCAGCTTGGTGTGTGTGTCTGGGCTCACCTGGGCATCCACCAGCCCTAGGGCTTTAGCTGATCAGGATAAATGACGGGCTGCAGTCTTCTTCACCTCCCCCAGTGCCCACTGGGAATGGGGCCCCACCCTGCCCACCGACCCAAACAACTCTGCCCCGGGGCCCTCACCTCATGGCACTCCACCCTCCACGCACGCTTAGGGAATACAGATTTCTTCAACAGCCGCTGGTCCCTGTGTCTGCCAGGCCGTCTCGTTCTCTGTGCACTGTCCTCACTCCTAGAACTCCACGCCTTGCCCTCCTCGCCCGTCAGGACTCAGCCGGGCATGGTGGCTCCAGAAGCTTCCCTGACACCCAGGCTGAGCCTGGCACCTGCTGTCGGAGCCATGCCTGGGCTGCCATTTTCCATATCATGCATCCCCAGTGGTGCTGTCACCTGCTATAAGCTGAAAATGGTGGAACACTGGTGAACGCCTAAGGGCCAACCTGGCATGTGTCCATCTGGCCCTCCTGGAGGTAGGGAAGCATATCCCATCATCTCCGCAAGCCCAAGGCCTAGTTGAGTGTTGGCCAAATGGGGCTGGTGTGCTGTCAGTCCTGCCTACAGGGTTTCAGCTCCTGCTGCATGAGCCCATGGCTGCCCAAGCCTCTGCTCTGAGTCACCAGGCACAGGCGGATGAACCGCCAGATAGTGAGGTCAGCTGGGACCAAGCCTGAGCCTCTGCTTCCTCGGCTGCTGTAAGGGCAGTCATGCGGCTCGGTCAGACCCCAGCTTCGCCCCTCCCAACTCGGCATCATCCTATCTCCTGCCAGCCCATGATGCTGGGGTCCTAGCACAGTCCACACCACCTCACCCCATCAAATAATAACAAGAACAATGACAATAACAACAACAACAATAATAGTAATTCTTTTCATGAGTACTCCTACCATGCCAGGTATTGTATCAACAGCCTCATTTAACCTTACAACAAACACACTGCAAGGGAGTGATTTCCCCTTTGTCATTGCTGAAAATGAGGCTCAGTGATGTTAAGTGACTTGCCTTAGGTCACTCTGGCAGCGGAAGAGCCAGGACTTGATCCCGGGCAAGTTTGCTCCAGAGCTTGGGCACGTAACCATCTGTAGGCCTGCCCCTCTGCGCCAGCATCCTGTGTGCCGGTTTGGTCCTCCTGTGGCCACCCCACTTCACATGAACACCCTGAGGCCCAGAGAGGTGAAGTTAGTGCCTTGCTCGGGCCACATGGCAGAGGCAGGATTAGAACAACGGCGTCCACCTGCTGCTTCCCTTCCAGCGTCGTGGCTGGCTTCATGGGGGGCCAGGGACCCCGATTCCCCCAGAGAGACTTTCTGCCCTTGGAAGGGCTCTGCCCAGCAGATGCTAGTGGTGGACTTACTTCTCTCTGTTGAATATGATGAATTCTTTCCGCACTGTCTCCAGGCACTGCTGGAGGTGTCCATTCTGTCAAAGAGCACAGAGAGGGGACTGTAAGTGATGAAGCATCATCCAGGGAGTGAGGACGAGCAGAGACTGATCTAAATGGGACCACGGATGCTTGGGGCTGGGGACAATCAAAGCGGCTGGAGCAGCCCTGATTGTAGCAGCGGCTGTGCCACCGGGGGTGGGGAGGGGGGCTGGCAGACAGAGATGCTTTTCTCCATTTTAAGCCATTAAATCCAATATAAAAGCCATGTTAAAACAGAATAGGAATTGAAAATCATGACCTTGGTTTCCTGATCACTTGAATGTTCGTTGGTCCTAATTAAGAAGCATGGTGGGGAGAGGGAGAAATTTAAGGCCATCGTGCAAAGGTGCTCAGTCTCTTCAGCAACAGGTGCCAAGGACCACCCGTCCCACGGATGCTCTGTAATACATGTCTCAGAGGCTGCCTGGATGCCGGATGTACACTGCATGCCTGTGCAGGAACCCCACACCCTTGTGTGCCCTTACGTACACACACCCAGCCCTTCCCAGGCCAACTTCTGCATTAGGTCCTGCAGGCACTGGCCTAGGCTCCACGATACTTTCAGGGGCTACAAAGATGTTTTAATGTCTTTTCAAATAAGCTGAAAAAAGTGAATTTTTAAATTTGAAAGTTATATTCATCTTCCTACCAACGTAATCATGCATTACAATTTTTAATATATTTTGATGGAGGAAGGGGCAGTTGTGGGTTGAACTGTGTCCTCCAAAAAGATATGTTGTGGAATGGATAAAGAAGATTTGTATATATACAATGAAATACTACTCAGCCATGAAAAAGAATGAAATAATGCCATTTGCAGCAACATGGATGGAACTGGAGATTATCATACTAAGTGAAGTAAGTCAGAAAGAGAAAGACAAATACTGTATGTTATCACTTACATGTGGAATCTAAAAGATGACACAAATGAACCTATCTACAAAGCTGAAATAGACTCACAGACAGAGAGAACAGAGTTGCGGTTGCCAAGGGGGAGGGAAGGAGTGGGAGTTTGGGATTAGCAGATGCAAACTATTATATACAGGATGGATAAGCAACAAGGCCCTACTGTATAGCACAGGGAACTATATTCAATATCCTGTGATAAACCATAATGGAAAAGAATATGAAAAAGAATGTATATATGTGTAGAACTGAATCACTTTGCTGTACAGCAGAAATCAACACAACATTGTAAACCAACCATACTTGAATAAAAAATAATAAAATTTTAAAAAGATATGTTGAAGTCCTAACCCCCTGGACTGGTGAATGTGAGCTTATTTGGAAACAGGGTCTTTGTAGATGGAACTAGTTAAGCTGACGTCATCCTGGAGCAGGGTGGGCTTTACATTTAACGAGGGGTGTCCCTAAAAGAGGGCCGTGTGAAGACACAGAGAGGAAAACGCCACGTGAAGACGGAGGGAGAGATGGGAGTGATGCAGCTGCGAGCCAAGGGATGTCAAGGGCTGCTGGCCACCGCCAGAAGCTGCAAGAGGCAAGGAGGGACCCTCCCTATAGCCTTTGGAGAGAGCAAGGCTCTGTCGATACCTGATTTTGAACTTCTGGCCTCTAGAATTGTGTGAACACATTTCAGTCGTTTTAAGACACCAGGTGTGTGATACTTTGTGATGGCAGCCTAGAAAACTAATGCGGTGGCCCACAGAGTGTGGTCCTGGGTGCCTCCACAGTATGAAACCTTTGCAGAGGGTGCTGGGGGCTACTCGGAACAGCGCTGGTGTCGCTCAGCATCATTTCTTCTGCTCTCGCTAACAGATAGGGAGGTTCCTGCACTAGGAACAGTGCTAATGTGAATGATGAGAGCACGGATATGTCCCTCTCCAGTGATGCTTTCACAGGGTCCTGCTATGAAAGACCACTTGTTCGATGGAGGCGTTTATTGACTGCAAATGAACGTATTTGGTGGGGCAAAGCGACAAGCCCCCCATCTGGCTAAGAAGCAGCAGCTCAATCATATTCACTGGGGCGACGATTGCTCTCTGCCTGGGGTCTGCTCCTGAGACGGCACTCACCAGAGGACAGCTGTCCTTCGTGCCATCTTTGGACCTGTTTTTTGCCAACCTCTTTTTCTTTTTGTGAAGTGGGTTGGATTCAAGAATCATTTCTTCAAGTTCAAATGTGGGATCACAGTTCAGTCTCCCTTTCTGAAAGGAAATGGAAAAGAAAACACGGTTGGTCTTTGTTCCGTGCCATTGAATTGTATTTTCATTCATTCATTCATTCAATCATTCATTCATTCAACAAGTAACGATGAACTACTCCTATGGGATACATCAGCTACACTTTCTTCCTGATAATGAACAGTGACACACCCTCGCTGCACACGTCATTCATTTATCCCCATAATCCCGCCCACCTTGCGTACCCCACTTATTAACATCCACAGGTTCCCTTGATCTCCTTACGTATGTTCATTTCGTGAGGTTGAGTTCAGTTTTCCAATCTGTTCTTTTCACTTATTCTCTCATATTCTCCTTCTCATGTCATTACTACCTTTTCTATAAATATCATTTTTTAACAATTCCATTTAAAAATACCATTTCTGGCCCAAATCTACCCTGTTCCCCATCCTGGCTCTCCGGTCTCCTGCAGCTAGAGCCAGCTGACCCTCAGGCCTGGCTCTGCCCTAGGCTGGGCTCCTGCCACTTTGGTCAGGAGTAATATTGGTCTCCCTGACTTATCCCAGGTGGCTCTTTTCCATCCTGAGACCCAGCCCAGGACGCTGGCCCTCTCAGGCAGCACAGTCTGGTGGTTATAACATCAATGGCTCTGAAGGTGCTCAGGAAAAACCACCACCCAGTTCTGCCGATTTCTGACTTTGAACAAGTTTTTAAGTTCTTTGGGACTCAGTTCATTATCTGTAAAGTCTGGATAAGCATTCCTCCCTCATGCAAGATTAAACAAGTTAATAAAGTTCTTCATGTAGGGCCAAGTGAGAAGTGAGTCCTTGAGTAGGTGTCCCTGTTCCTGATTGGATGGGGGCCAGGGAGGAGCGGGACCAGGCACAACCCTGGGGGGGCTGCCAGCCTTGCCACTGAGTCCTACAGCCTCACCTTTCACCTGCGTGTCTTTGAGGGAGACATATAACCTCTCTCTGCCTCAGTTTCCTCATCTGTGTAAAATGCAGCAGGCTCAGTGGGTTGCTGAGGATTAACTGAGATAGTGTTTGCAAATCTTCTAGAATGGGTCCTTCCTGATCCATGGCAGGCCTGCAATGACTGACCACTCCCTTTGCTGCCCCGCAGTCCCAGCCGCCTCCCGTGGGAGCCCCGGCCTTAAACCCCAACTTATAAGCGAGGGTCTTGCTACCTGCCGTCAAACTTGCCTTGGCCAGGCTGCCTCACCCCTCGATGTCAGCCAGTGCCCTGCCATGGCCAGGGCAGGAGGAGGATCCTCCAGGGCTTTGCAGATAGAACTGGGGCAAGGCCTGGCTTTTCCACTCACTAGCAAGTCCCTCAACCTCTCTGGCCCTCAGTTTCCGTAACCGTAAAATGAGGGTAAGTGCTCCGAACTTGTGAGGCTGGGGAGCAGTGCTACATTCTTTTCCCTTTCCCTTCTCCATCCTGGAGAGAGGTCCCAGCAGAACAGTCCCCACTGGGATTGTCTGTACTGACAGCTCTCCCGGACCTGTCCCTGCCGGGATCCTCACACCACCAACGTCTATGGCTCCACTAATAGCCCCCTTTCCCTTGGTGGTACATCTGTCCCCCACCACTCTCCCTCTCCCAGTGAGCAGGTCAGATTCCAGGCCCAAGTCTTTCCTGGCCTGATCTATCTTCTTTCCCTCCCTCCCTCCCTTCCTTCCTTCAATGGAGGCTCTGGATCCAGACTGCCTGAGGTCAAGCCCTGGCTTTGCCAATTTCTCACTGAGTAATTGTGGGCAGTTTGCTTAACCTGAGACTATTCACTTAAGCTGAGACTACTAACAGGGCCCCCTTCCCTGTTGTGAAGCTTATATGACATAATGTACGTGAAGATTTAGAACACGCTTAACGCTATTGGCTGTTATCATTAACCGATCCATACTCATGTGGCAAGCACATATCGTGGTCTTCTAGCAGCTTCTGGGGTCACCCATCACTCTGGGATCTCTCTCAGGCGAAGGTCAGCCAACCCACCCTCTGAAGCTCTCGGGGAATGGTGGATGCACGCAACAGAACGTTATTGACTGCTAACGCAGACCTAGGCACCTGTCCAGTGGGGAACCAGGGAGGGTGAGATCCACTCCAGGTGAGGGGATGGAGAGGCTGGCTGGGAAAACGTCCCAGAGGAGGCAATGAATGAGTTTTCTCCTTATCCAGAAGGCAGTTACCAAGACCCCCCAGTGGACCACTTGCTGCGTTTTACGCTAAGTCTGGAAAGAGGGGAAGGAGATTTCCAAGTGGACAAGAAAGGCATTCCT